CCAATTACCTACAGCTTCGTGGCAACTACCCCTTAGTTAAAAAGGTATAGCCCATACAACTGTAGATATTTGGCTTACATAATCTACAAATCCGTATGTAACCCCAGTTTTAATTTCATGTTCCATTTCCTTTTCCATTTGATTCTCCAGTCTTACATTGCCCTAAGCCCTAAACCCTCAACCCTAGGCCCCAAACCTTTGGGTTACATGTCAGGGTTAAGGCCCTAAACCCTAAGCCCTAAACCCTAAACCCTAAACCCTGAAGCTTCGGCGGTTGCGAAAGGCGGCGAGGGCACAGCATGAAGGCACTCGCGGTGAGCAGGAGCAGCAGGCGGGGAGGGGAAGTGGAGGTTCAGGTTTTAGGGTTTAAGGGGTTTATAGGGGTTCTATAGGGTTTAGGGTTTAGGGTTTATAGAGGGTTTAGGGGTTGCGGGTTTAGGGCTGGAGGCTTTAGGGTTTAGGGTTTAACTAGTTGGAAAATGTGTGCGCTGCCTGTCTTTCTTCTATCTGGCCCTTCATTTGGAATCTGTTTTGATTTTGCCCGTCTAGCTAGAGGCCAGACGAGATGTGCAGGCGACGTTAGCAGTGCATCGATGAGTGCTTAGCGAATACCTGGACCTTGGACACCTATCTCTTTGGGTATATGTATCTGGTAGTTCCCCTAAATAAGGGAAGTGAATATAGACACGAACATACTATAATCTTTGGTATGTTGACCCCCAAAACAGTAGCCCTGATATTCTGGAAAAAACTCCATATCCTACACACATCTAAGAAGTAGAGGTGTCATCTAAACCCTAAGCCCTAACCCCAAGCCAGCCTTTTTCTGCCCTAAACCCGACACCCCTCGCTCCACCCAAACTTGAAACCCTGACCTTAAACCCATCAATGAGGTGGGGGCGTATATATAGGGTATATATTGGGGATGTATTGGGATAATGGAAAGGAAAATGGAACAATTATATAGGTTTAGCGATTAGGCTTTAGGGAAGCCTGCAATCCTCCGAAAGCCCACAGCACAAGACTTTGGACCGTGGAGCTGAGGGAAGCTTCTGATGAATGGCTTCTAGTTAGCTATTCGAAGGTAGCACTCGCACTCCAGTCCACAGTATTTGAAGGAGTATTCAGACTCTTGACCCCGTGAGCATTTTGGGAGGTCTTCAACTGGTTTGGGGCTGTCCAGCACATGGACGAGTGGTCGGCCGGCGCTCGGTTCGACGAGATACAGGACGCGTAAGCTGCTGTACGGGACTTTGACTTTACAAGCGATGTTCCAAGCTCCCCGCGTCATTGGGGGCCAAAGGATCTTCAATGGGGAATATACAGGGTTATAAGGGGACCATAGAAGGTTTGGGGATAGTATTAACCCGTTGGGATTATGTAGAGATTGTATGGGTGAACTTAAGGAGGCCGGCAAACCTGGTCTGAAAGTTTGGTTGCAAGAAGCCCCGGCTCCTTGTTGAGGTCGGACAGTGACTCTCACCCTCTCCCCAGAGTTTAGGGTTTAGGGTTTCAGGGGTTTAGCTTGGCAGAGACCCTGAACCCCAAGCCTTGAAACGAGTCCCTTCTGGAGGTTGTCTATAAGAGGATGCTTATCTTGAGACAGAGCCACATGATATGAGGATAAAATCAACGAGACAAAGGGCCAATGTATGGCGCAAGGGGTTCCCATGAAACCACTTTGGGGCCCCAGTATATACTACATAGCCACATGGACCCCATACGATTGAGGACATGTATACCCACGGGGATGGCTTTCACGAGTCGGTCCAACATCTGCGCCATGGCGTGCAGTCACAAGTTAGGCAGCTCCCTTAAGTAGGCAGAATATAGAAGTCCCCAATATCATAGTTAGATCCCCGGATGCCGCGTATTTATGGTTCAGCGAGAAACTACCGTATTGCTATGCCACAGCATATAGTCTCTGGTGGTTAGTCATTATCATTATGATAGAAAGGACTAGTGCTTGGTACTATACCTATCTAGGTCCGTCAAATATATCCCCTCAAAAAGAGCGATCACGCGCGGGTGGGATGCAATTTAGAGGGTTTGGAGTTTGGGGGATAGGAATCACATGCCGGTGTATCCCTGGAGCTCCAAGTCTACAAGTAATACTTATCTTGCGCTCGGAAGTCTATGGATATGATAGTATGTTTTGGGCTATTTCGAGCCCTGGGGAAAAGATCTATCAAGACGATCTTCGCTGATTATAGTATAGGTGTTAGGTAGATATATGATTATTATGCCCTCAGGGTATTGGGGTTCCCTTATTTTTGGGAAACTACCACGTAGAATTGTGCTTTTTTGGCTGCGTGTCTGGGTCTGGCAGCATTATGTTACCTCTTTTTCAGGTTCCCGCTCATCCTACTTACAGTTCCAGGGGACATCATAAGTACTCGTATAATCCCTGTAAGCCAGATGATAACCCCAAGTATCCCCAAACCCTAAACCCTAAACCTACTTACTATCGTCAGTCGGGAAAAAGAGTTGCAACAAAAAGCTACTTACTAAGTCCCCTGGCCTTCCAGGTGAACTCTGAAAAACCACCCAATTGCTTAGCCTTCAAGTTGTCCACCTCATACAAACCTAGGGTTTAGGGTTTCAGGGTTTAGGGTTTAGGGGTTTAACGCTCAGGGCTTAGGGTTCGGGGTGTAGGGTTTGGGGGTTGAGGGTTTAGGCTTTGAGGTTAGGATTTAGGCGTTTAGGGTCCTAGTATCTTAGATTTCAAAACACGACGTGACCTTTGTACGATTATTTGACCTCATAGCCCCACCCCGTGAAGCTCACAAGTCCTAAACCCTAAACCCTAAACCCTAAACCCCTAGCTCTTGAACCCTACCTGGACCCGGGATGCTTTTTTTGGGGGGGATATGTCTTACAAAGAAGCGGAAAAGGACCCGCCCGAAGGAAAGACAGCGCCTGCCCAGCTAAGCACTGTGTTCTATCCTACCTCCCCCCCCATTGCAGGGTTTAGGGTTTAGGTCTTGTTTAGGGTTTAAGCGTTGAAGCCCTAAATCTTAAACTTACACCTTGAAACAACCCAAAGCCCGGAACCCCAGAAAGGGGGTGATGAGTAGATTGGCATCTCCATGGTTGGGTAAAATTCCTAAGTCCTAGACACCAGTATATATCCCCACATAACCCCAATATGTTCCCGGTAAGCTCTTCTATACCCCCACATAGCCCCTAGATCCTCCTCATAGACCAGTTCTTGAGATACATATATATATATATATATGTATCTCTCTCTCTCTCTCCCTGTATAACCCGCGTACATTCCCTATAAACCTTGTACAACCCCATCTCACCTCTACGCTCTGAAGCCCTACATCCTGGACAAGATTAGGGGGATTAGAGAGAACCTTAAGGGTACGCTATATAGTAGGTATATCAGGATCCCAGGGCTAAGGGCCCATACTAGGGGTTCAAGGGCACCCTAAACCATGCGTAAACCCCAAAGCCCCCAAACCCTAACCCGTATACCTCAAACCCTAAACTAAACCCCAAGCCTTAAACCCTACGTAAACCCTAAACCCTAACCCATATACCCTAAACCCTAAGCCCTAAACCCAAAACCCTTGAGATCATCCCAAGGCTGAACAGGCCCAGGCCTCCCCCCTCAAAGACACGAGCGCGACATTGGCAGGCAGCCGAAACATCTTAGATACCAACGATTGGGATTTCCCCCAAAATTAGGGGTAGCCTTCTTGCAAAATTTATGATACGGATTTAGAGTTCTTTGGGATTTATATTGGGGTTTCCTACTGACTAGAAGGTTTGGGGTCGAGGGTTCATGACTTCGGTTTCAGGGTTTGTTAGTATGCAAAGTTTGGGCTTCCATAAATCGATTCTCCCTTGTACAGCCCCAAAAATGTACTACTAACTTCCGGAACCCCCCTATACATATAAATGTATGTATATATATATATAGTTTTGCTGTCCTCTATATTTTGGTATATACGGACATCTAATATAGTTCTGGTTCAGGAATTAGGGGTGAGCGTGAAGGTTTCAGGGTCTCTTTTTGGCTGCGGGCACCCGTTGAGGGGACAGGACAAGTAGCCAGAAGATTGGAACCTCCATGAAAAGGTTGCCGCAGTATCCCAGACCCCTTAAAGGATCCAAACAATGGAACCCCCCCAATATGAACCCATCACTACATTGGGAAAGTAGGGGATTGTTAGGCGGCTCCATTTTTTGGATCGGTTAGGGGGTCTGGGATGTGGAGGCAGGGGTTGGCAGATTGTACCTAAATCCCTAAATCCTAAAGCCTAAACCTATGTTTGAGGTCCAACACACCAAGCCCCAAGCCCTGAACCCCTGACACCTTAACCAATCAGCTTCCTTTAACCTCATAGGTGTTTGATGCCTGAGTAACGAATTATATTCCCCTACATTCTCCAAGCTTCCATTTCAGTTTTCCATGTTATGCATGTGATTCACTAACGTCATCCATTCACGATCCTGCTTGATCTCTCTTCTATGTGGGCACCGTCAGGCGGCATCATGCCCGACATGATTCATACGTCTCTTCTGAACATCGAAGATGTCACGCAACAGATCAGCACAGGCTCCGTGCAAAGCAACAGCCACCGCAACTCACTAAATTCAACTGGGTTGCTGTGCAGTAACTTAACTCAAGTTACACTCATGTGGGTAGAGAATGAATAGTAGGAATTCCTGATTATAGTAGTTTAGTCTAGATTTCTTGACAGCAATCCAGTTAAGGAGAGCGGTCAGCCCATGGAAGCTGGATTGATCTTCGGCCCCCAGACTCTTTTTCCGTCTTGGTAACCTGAGCATGACCTTATGTGTGTTGACCAGTGCTAGCTTGCATTTATGGGCCGTTCCATGGGCACCAAAACGTTGGTTAATTTACCTTAAAAGCCCGGGTACCCATATAGTAGGTCCTTGGGTTATAGATAGTATAAGTTTATATAGGGACCCAAGGACAGGGACCCAATATATAGGTAACTGGGCTTCTAGGGTTAGTTCCACTCGAGCCTGAGCATCTCGACATGTCATAGGCGATTGCCAATGCCCGCGCCAAGGCCACTTTCTGTTGCAGGGTTGGATTCCCAGGGGAATTAGTAGGGCTTAACCCCCTAAACCCTAAACCCCTAAACGGGAATTACCTAAACCCAAAAAGTATGTAAAATGATAGCCCTAAACCCCTAATAATAGCCCAAAAGGCCATTATTTTACATACTTTTGGGGGGTCCAGGTAAATGCTAAAGACTTAAGTTGAGGGCTAGGTGTAGGGTTGGGTTCCTGCTGCGCGCCCTTGCAAGTAAGTAGGACTCGAGTCCCCTAAACCCTAAACCCTAAACCCTAAACCTGTGGGTGTGCAAGAGGGATCCCACTTCGTAAGCAGTCCCATTCAATTGGGGTTTAGGGTTTAGGTGTTTAGGTGTTTAGGGTTTAGGGTTTAGGGGTTTAGGGTTTAGGGTTTTAGGGGGTAACTTGTTGTTGCCATTGATCTGGGCTTTAGGGTTTCAAAGGAGTTAGATTACGCCAATAGTGGCGAATCAAGTAGATATGAAGATGGACAGTTGAATGACAACTGCGGAAATGGTTCATTGTTGGGGTATAGTTTTTTTTTTTTTGCGGGCTCGAAACTTAAACACCTGGCGCTGAGTACGGAATGAGCACCTACAGCAGTCCCACTCAATTTCCACCCTAAACCCTAAGACCTAAACCCCTAAACCCTAAACCCTAAACTCCATAAGTTGTCCTATACAGCCCTAGGAGCCATTCCCCTTTTCCCTACTAAGCGTGTATTTATATCATTTCAGCATTAATTTCATTCTTCACCCTACCATATAGGACCATTCTAATAACAATACAATTACTGCTATTCCTATTACCATGCCTGGTCTATCAAGTTTCATGCTCGTGTATTTAGGGTTCAGGGTTGAGGGGTTTAGGGGTTTAGGGTTTAGGGTTTAAGATAATAACCGTTAGTATAACCGATGCTATTTAAGTCACTTCAAGGAGCACAGGTTGTTACCAGACATTGCCGGGTGACAGTCGTATAATTCCCAAGAGCTAGAACAGTTTCCGATTGGCGTTTTTTACCCAAGCTTAGGGTTACATTTTCAGGCTGGGCCCCTATAAATAGTAAGGATTATAGTATTGTTGGGGTTTATATATTGAGGTTTCCGCATCTTGGGAAACTGCCAATATTCCAGCTGGGCTTCCACATCACGACCCGCCCAAACAAGGCGTGATTGAATCGGGGGATGCTGCTAAAACAGCTTGAGCGAATACATAGCCAGTGTCGCACGACCCTGTTGGGGTCCTTGGAGGAATCTGATTGTACCTGCAGGTCTCCCTTACCTGTTGAAGAAAATAATTTATGGTATTATGGTACTTCAAATAAACCTGGAAATAGTCAACAGCAATTTATGATGCTTTCGTAGACCACCCGTGAAATCTACGTCCTGCCAGAGACGGCAAACCAACGGGCTGCCAAATGCCCGGGGCTACCACACATACAATAAACAGTAACAATAAGAAGTGGTACGAGGTTTAGGGTTTGGGGTGAGAGTAGTAATAGTGATAAGCCCCCTTTTTTGGGCACATCATATTCGGTGCCACACAATTGGTACACTCCAGAGAATCTGTAACCCACCCCATCTCCTGCACATCCCCCAGAAAGCTTCCCAGCTGTGTTGCCTCAACCCTAAACACTTGAAGCCAGACATCCTGCAACCCAAACCTCCTAAACCCCAAATCCCTAACCTATATACTGGGGTTTAGGGTTTAGGGACCCATTGGGGTAATGTTAGGGTTGTATAGGGGTGATTTTTGGATAATGGAACAGAAAATGGACACTACTATTCAGGGCTTTTAGATTTAAACAGCTCCAGCCTGCGCAGTTTTGCACGCAGGGACCCTGGACTTGCTTCCTGTGGGTTTTCTGTCTTACAGTTCTGTAAGGTGAAGTAATGTAGGGCGCAGGGGTTCAGATTCCCCCTGAAAATCTCATCCTTAAACCCCGAACCAAGATTCCTAAACCCCAGCCCTGAACTCCCTAGGCATGTGTTTCCTGACCCCATAAACCCCTTAGATCCTATCCTAAACTCCCTACCCGGTAAACCCCCTAAACCCCATCCTTAACCCCCTACCCAATACACACCCCAAACCCCATGCTTAACCCCCTAAACCCCTTAGAACCCCGAACACTACCTTGCCGCAGCTCCGCCGCGCGCCGGCCTTGACAGCCGCTGCCACGTTCTGCGCCCCGGGTCTGGCATCCCCCACAGCGGCGCAGGTGCCGCTGGTTTATGGCTTAATTGGTTTATAGTCCCTTAAAGTAGATAGAACATGGGGTTATTTAGGGATAGTGGAAAAGAAAATGGAAACTACTGTTTAGGGTTTAGGGTTGCAAGGTTCATGGTTTAAGGGTTTGGGTGAAGGCTAGTTCAGAAGCCCACAGCCTGAACCATGCAGCGTGTCAGTCCTTCTCCGCCTTGGCGGCAGCGGCGGCCATGGCGGCTCTACGACGAAGAGGGCTTCCTGGCTATGTTTTTTTTTTTGCTCCTGGGTTGCTTTTAAGGAACTTCAATTAAGCTGCTATATTGGGGAAACCCTATTATTTACTATATATATATATACCCATTATGGTAACTTAGTTTAAGTTTCTTAACAGCAACCCAGGCTTTCATTCTTGTCAGGAGTATGTAATATGCGGTTATATGACATGTCATCCTCGAAGGTTTTGTGACAAAAGCAAAGGGGGTTCTATCGCTGAGTTTGCGGCCTTAGCTGGGTGCCCTTTGGATCTCGTAAGCTTGGATGGCCTAGGGTTTACATTTCAAAGAGGGGAGTAGGATTTTTGACACCAAGTGCAGATTCATTTTGGGTTCGTGAGGGTTTTTTGAATCACGGGGTAGGTACTTGGAGGGTCAGGGGGACTTAGTAAGTAAGTTAATAACCCCTATAACCCATATAGTAACCCTAATTATGCCCCTTATTAACCTACTTACTAAGTCCCCCTGATCCTCCAAGCATGATGCGGACTTTGACTTCTGAGACGCTGTGCCGTACCGCATTCGTTTGCCTCAGGTATCGCTGATTCCAGGCGGCAGGCAAGTTACTATATTGGGGAAACCCTATAGGGGTTTAGGGTTTAGGGTTACTATATTGGGGAAACCCTATTATTTCCTATATATACCCAGTATGGTAACCTCTACTGCAGTACCCCAACTGCTTGCCTGCATCGGGTAGTAGTTCCATGGCATTACGTTTTGTTGACATCTGGTCTATTGGATGGCTTATGGGCTCAGCGATCAAGGGGGCAGGGAGCTTGTTCAGAGCGCCTAACATCCCTTCATGAAGGAAACATCCTGAAGCCACATGGTAGTTGTGCTAAATTCCAGTCCCAAAATGGCCATAAACCAATCCAGGAAGATGTGTTGCAATTTGGTCTCTTGTGGGGTATCAGCTGAGCGTCATCTGGTCAACATGACTAACCAAAACATCTACTGTTAGTTTATACCTTATCAAAACATAGATGTACTAGCTTCAACTCTTCCTCTTTATTATTACCATATATATATATGGTAGCCCCCCCCCCAAGATCTACGCCTAACCTGTCTTAGCTTCATGAATGCTCCATATGCCTTCTCCGTGAACATATTGTATCAGCCGAAAACACTGTAAATAGCGATGAATTCTACACTGTTGAATGAAATTAATCA